TGGTACAACCCTGAGCGTTTGCTGTGTTCTGGCTGTGTGAACCAAGAATTGCAATGCGAGCTTGTAGCCAGCAGTATTTTCTGCACAGTGCTGAGTTCACATTTAATATGTTTCCAGAACTGCAGTAAGATGGATAGAAAATCGCCCCTGTGGATTTTGAGCTGCTTAGTTTCAATGAAGCACAGCTTTCTTCCTGCCAAAACTTGGTTCGCTTGCTAAATCAGGACAGTAGTCTGCATGTTTCACAGTCTCTTACACAGAATAGTGAGAGCTGAGGGTGTTGAAGTACACTGGGTCATTTCAGTGCAGCACGGCTGTCCAAGCCTACACCTATAGCACAGTTACTGGGCGTGCATCGTCCTAATAGAAACAGCAATGCTGCCTCAGTCAGTCATGTTGGGACAGTTCCCAGTTCTGAGGCAGTCATATCAGCAAAATGACCATGATAGCTGGGATTAGCTGGTTTCTTGTTGGTCAGCCACAGCAGAAAGCTTACAGAAAAGAGAGGTCATGAAGATTAAACCATCCCAAAAAGATAGATATTCCTTTCAGTTCAGGGTGAGCTCTGGTTTTGCGTAGTACATGGATGAATTGCTGCGTGGTAAGCCTGATATTTATTATTATTTGAATTATGGAGTAATTTTACCATGCATGAGGGAGCAGGATGGAATTACAAGCTTGGACTCTGCTTATACTGATAGGAGCGTTAAACCATCCTGCTGGGTTTCATGGGGACAGGAATATTGCATAAGGGGATATCTCATCCACTGTTAAAACACTCACTGAAGACCAGAACGAGGGCAGATTCTTCCGTGTCATCTGCCCCTCAGTGTCCCCTGAGAGCAACATAAAGAGATGGAGGATTACCTGCAGCGAGGGGAGCTCTCTGCTGCAAAGCTGGGGGGAGCATCTCCTCCTCTGTTTGGCAGGGGACCTAAAGGAACTTCCCTGCTGTCTGCATTGTGCTTTAGGATGGCTGTGGGAAGCTGTAAAGCCCACAGCCCGCTTCCCTCCCACTAGAGCCCCAGCAAGCTAGCACTGCCTCAGGTCCTGTCTCGCTGCAAGCGGGGAGTGGTACGTCACTGAGAGATTCAAAGCAAGGTCACGTGTATTAGTGTCCCTGGCCAAAAAAGCGCAGACACAACAAGTCATTGAGCTGTCACTCATTAATGGAGAATTGAAAGAAAGAGTAAATGGAAGTCAGTATCTCACTCTTAATGTTCTTGATCTATTTTAACTGGTTCCGGGTCCTTTTCCCTCTTTTTCCTACCAAGGTTGGGTAGGACAACAGTGTAATGCACCCACATTTGGCAGTAGTGGTTGCACACTCCGTTCACCTGGGCGTTCAGTCTAAGTGTGCTGGGTGGGTTAGGTAGCCTGGACATTTATCACAGCATGTCCTTTTTCAGTTACATCACTGTCCCAGTCCACTTGTGAATTACTTCTTTCCACTTCCCGTCCTGTCCCATAAATGCCATATGCAAAGACATTATTATAGGGTTGTAGAAGCAGCTGGAATCTGACCATTACTTAAATAGCCCACTGAATGTGATATTTCAGATTCTTTTACCAAAGCCAAAAAGCAGAGTGTGCCTGCTGGTTGGAAATACTGCATCTGTAGGAGGAAGGGGTGGTCTCAGTGGCACTCGCTGATACTGGCAGTTAAAAGGGTTCGCTGTCAGAACCGTTGTTTTGAGGGTGAGCCTGTAGGTGCCTCGATTTCTGTGATATTCATCATGGAAGCACTGTGCCCTTCTGTCAAGGCTAGGAACATAGCTTCGCCGCTGCACGTGGTACCGACGCAGTTACATACACAGCTTCAGGGGGGTTCGCTCTTCCCTTGGAAATCAGCTCAACTCTTCCAAAACCTGTGAGGTTAAACTGTAAGATCTCTGGGACACTACCAAAGTTTGGGTCTCTGAACAATGCTAAACTTGCTAGTGATTTATAGCACTTCCATGGAAGAAATGGAGAATAAATAATAGAGAAGTGCAAAAGCACTGCTATCTCAGAAGTCAGGTCTGAGAGTTTGCCAGCCATTATTTACTAATGAGGAGTAACTCCTTACATGTACTGGTTTGGTTTGGTTTGTGCAGTCACAGTGCGCTGGTGTTTAGAAATCTCATGTCTGGTTTGAGCTAGGGATATTTTTTAACTTTGGAAGCCACGGAACTGCGTGTAATGAGCGTCCCACTATGTCCCAGGGACAATCCGTAAAGCAAGGGGAATTTGAAAGCCAACATATGCTTCTGCAGTGCTCTCAAAAAAGTGCAAGGGCCGTCTAAAAAGGAAGATTCAGAGAAGGTACCCAATGCCCTGAGAAGTCACTTCTTCCTTTCTGCCTCACACCAAGTGTCCTCTTTCTCCTTACTGGCAGTAATACGATTGTATAGGGCTATCTTTCTGTTTTAGAGACTTAACTTAAACAACCGCAGTCAAGTGGTGGTGCAAGGCTCTGGGAGCCAAATTCTGAATTAATTTTGCATAAACAGGGTTTTCTGCTAACACTTAAAAGATTTTAAATAAAAGCTCAACAATAGAGTGCTTGAGCTTCCATGTCAAACTTAAGTTAGGTCTTGTCTAATCTTCCTTTGCTTGAGTATGGTGTTTGATATCTGCTGTCTCTGAGTACTTTTTTTTTTTTTCCTGAAGTCTTGATTTACAGTGGTCCAATCTCAGGAGTCAGGCCACACTTTGGAAGATGTGTGGGATATGCAAAACATCCCATTCTTACGGACAGTTATTTGGCGCTGTAGGTTTAAAAGAAGATTCAGTTATGCTTGCTTTATTTAAAGAGTTGTGGGGTGCGGTGATATTTTGGTTTTGGTGTTTTGTTTTTTTTTTTTTTAAATCACATCTCTCACCAGTAGAAAATAACATGATTGAAGTTGAAATAGCAGTTCCACTATTTCAGCTGCCTAAGGAATCTTCTTTGGGCTTGACAGTTCTGCCATGGATATAAGCCAGAGATTGCTGCTTGTGCAGAATTGTTTAGCTATCAGTTTGAATAATTTTGTTTTCTTCCTGCAGAGATCTGCATTGGTTTTATTATTTGTGTCCAAAAACTCAATCACGCCTTAATGTTTTAATTATTCACTTGTACAGTTTTTATATTTCACTAATATAAGTTTCTTACACAGAGAAAAGTACAATTAAGCTTACTATTAATATTGAAATTGTGTGTGTTTATACATATATGGATCATATTTTTAGATGCGTATTGCAAAGTTGATGCCTCAAAACTGTTTGAAAATGAGATACTGCCATGGGTTGTATTTGAGGACTCAAATATAGAAGCCTATCAAAATCATTACTCTGCTCTTGCAAATCTTCTCTTGCCTTCCTACCTGCCAGTAAGCACTTGCCTCTTGTAGTTACAGATGAGCTTATTAAAACTGTGTAACAATATTTGTTACTGATGCCAAATTCAGTGGAATTTGAAAGGCAACTTCACCCTCCAATACATGATGTGTTTTAGTGTTATATCTAGTGCTTGATAACGATATGGTTTCTGTAGCCCATTGCAAATGTGAATGCCCTGTGCTGGAAATCATGTGTACTAAGCTCCATATGCTAATCTGCAAGCCAGTTTTGTTTCCCTTCTTTGTGTTAGAAACCAAGTAATTCTTGCGTACCAACATATTTGTAAACCGTGAAAAGGCAACGAGGCTTCTCTTCCACCTCCTGTGTTTCCCCCGCCAGATGCATAAACTAAGGGGCAGCCTTTGTGGTGCAAAGCATATTTCGGAAGGGGCAATGTTACATATCCGATGGGGTGCTGCCTGACGCGGTGGCAATGGCGAGGGGGGTGAGACGTTCCTGTTGCTTTGGCGGTGAAAAGCAGCAAGGGCAGGAGGCATGTGAAATTCTCTCAGCCGAGCAAGGAACACCTTGCTGAGCCCAGATGTAGCAGCACAGTCCCGACATGCAGGATGTCCCTGTCTGATCCCACGCCGCTCGCAGCAGGGCTATGTGCCTGGAAGGGCTTGTCCTCCTTTCACCTGGGCACCGTGCACGTCCCTTACCGTGGGCTCCAGGCTGCTGGAGGGGACACCTCTGCCAGCACTGGCCGGGTTAGAGGGTGACAGGGGGGAAGCAGCGTGCCACTGAGTCTGGCCGGCCCTGGGGAGAGGTGGGCTGAAGCCCCAGCACAGCGCAGTTAACAGCCCTTCCACCTGCCTGCCACCGTCTGCGCTCCGAGTCCAGCCGAGCCGTGAGATTTTCAAGGGGAGAAGGCTGAGCGCGGTCTGAGTGGCGATTTTTGTTTTATCGCAATCTTGTTACTTTACAGCGTTTGGACGAGGCTGGGTGGAGGCGGGGAGGGGAACATCCGACCACCCCGTTCCCCGGCTGCCCTCAGGGGTGCAGCCAGTGCCGGGGATTGCATTTCCAGACGCGAGTCTCCCTCTGGCTCTGCACGCGTGTGCGCGCTTTCCTTCGGGTGGTGGTTTGCTTCCCCTTCGCTTTGCCTCTTGCCTGCAGCCGGAGCCGGAGGAGAAGGCGGTGCGATTGGCTGCCGATTCCACGGATCAGCCCCGAGCGCCGGGGCTCACGCTCACGGGCACACGCACACGCGCGCACACCCCACAGACACTCACCCGCGCTGCGCCGGCACAACTCAAAGGAGGGAACGAGCATCCAGCTGCACGGAGAGCAACATCTCCACCTCTCGCCAAAAAACAACCTGCACAGCCAGGGGAATAAACACCTTCACTGCCAGCGCTGGGAAGGACGGGCGGTTTATACCGTAGCGCGTTCCTCCACCCCGCTTTTTGGGTGTTTTTTTTCCCTTTTTTTTTTTTTTTTTTTTTTTTTTTTTCCTCCAAAAAGAGAAAATCCCGTCTGCGATTTGCAGCGCAGCCCCCCTCCGCACCCGTCGCCGCCGGGGGTCGCATCTGGCCACAACAAACTTCGTTGGGGGTCTCTGGCCGGGGCAGCCCGGACGAGGCGGGGAGGGGGGTGGGGGGTGGGTGGGTGGGGGGGGGAAAGGGACACGCCGGAGCCCTCCCAGCCGGGTCGGAGGGTGCAGGATGGCGGCGTCGACCCGCTGGGTGCTGTGCCTGTGCCTGGGCTGGGGCTGCCTGTGCCTGGCGCGGGGAGACGCGCCGAAGGCTCGGTGGGCCGGGCTGCGGCGGCGACCGGCCCCGGGAGGGGTGAGGGGCGGCCGGGCCAGAGCCGCGGCAGGTGACTACGGGCCGGGGGAGCGGGAGAGGCTGCAGCCGGGGGACAAGGTCTCGGAGCACATGCTGCGGCTTTACGACCAGTACAGCGGGGGGCGGGCGGCGGCGCGGCGGCCGCAGGACCCGCCGGGGCTGCCCGGGCTGCACCTCCGCCAAAGCAACACGGTGCGCGGCTTCCGCCCGCTGGCTGCAGGTGAGTGTCGGCGGGGGGGGGGGGCCGGGACGCGAGAGGGTTTGGGGACGGACCCCTCCGGCCCCTCGGGGGGGTTGCCCGCGGAACCGCCCGGTTCCGGGTGGGCCGCGGGGTTCCGCGCCGGGGGCGGGAGCGCGGCCGCGGAGCGGACTCACCTGGGTGCCGGAGGCGGGGGCTGCCGAGGGTTCGCTGCGCAGGCACAGCGGGCATCGGCTCTGCAAAACTGGAGGTAACGGGTCCCTCCGTCCCGTCTGCTGGAGCTGCGCGTCTGTTCTTGGTGCCCGGGGAACTTGATGTAGGGAAGAAGATGAGGAAAGGATTAGGAAAGTAATGCTGCCTGCAGCAACGGTCGTGTCTTCCAAGGCTATCATGTTTACATTGTCTCCCATTTTTTAATTACCGGTTTATCTCTTCAACGCTGTGCGCAGCGTCTTTGCCGTATGGTATCTGAGTGCCATATGAGGGAAGTGGAGTAATTAACATATCCTCTCTGGAGTCTCCTTTTACCGGTGTTTTGCATGTGTAGTTTCTGTTGAAAGCAAGCGCTGATTTGCTTGCGATGGAGCAATAACATGGTTTGACAATCCCTTAGACTATCTACAGAGTACTCATTTTGACACATTGGTGACAGTACTGGCAATTAGGGGCAGTGGTAAATGACCTTAGTTGAAGCATAATTTCCGCGTGGTAAATACTGCACCTCAGCGTCTTTGGCAGTGGCACTTAGTTTTATCTCCGTGATGACAGGCTGGCACGCACAGGTAGATTTATGGAAACATAAAGCCATTTTTCATAAAGGAGGGGAGCGTGTATTTAACACGGCAACATCACAAAAGAACTGTGTCCTAGTAGAAAGGGAAGATGGCACTGCCCTGGTGCTGCATCCCCTGCCTCCACAGTTCTGCCTTTTGCGCGTCCGACCTCTGCAAGGGCTAAATGGAGATGCCAGAACCCAAACGTGACCTTTGCAGGGTTATGCTTCCCAAATCCACTGCATCCCAGAAACCTTCTATTTGTATGATAGCTGTCACGCCATACATAGCAGCCAGGTTTGCCAGTCTTTTATTTTTCATTGCACTAGTGGATTGACCCAATGGCTTTTTCACAGACAAGCATCTGTCATTAAAAATGAGCGTTGTCTGGGAGCTTCAGTGACCTGCAGTGATTCCTTCATCTTCCAGAAAAATGAGAGCTGGGTGCCAGACTTTCCTTAGGTTTCTTTGCAAGTCATTCCTTCTGATTCTTCAAAGGCAACAATGTCTATTATAGGATAGTCCTGCACAGAGATCAAATACCAGGAAAAATGGAATGGCTTTAGTGTTTTAGAATTCAGCCTTACAAATGCTCTCCATCATATGTTGTTGCAAGTATTGCTGTCCAGGAGAGAGGCTTTAGGGGCTAGAGGCATAAATACCTTGGTTTTGCAAGACAAAGAGCTGGGTCTCCCAGCTGCTGCTCCTACAGATGACCTATCTTATTTTTTTGACCGAGCTGGGTTTTTTTGCGATATAAAGTACGTTGCTTTATTCTCAAATAAGCAGTTCCCTCACCAGAAGAGGATCAGGTATAATTAAAAAAATAAAAAAATAAAAAATGAGGGGGGAGGGTATAATCCCAGCAGAGTGATATTTGGTCTTTTAAGCATATCTGATCAAAGATATTTGTTGTTCTAAATCTAGAAGGTCTTTGGTTGAAGTCCCATCTCTGTGGTCTTTTTGATTATATTTATACTCTCACTTGACATTGGGTGGCAGCAGTCCTATAAACATACTATTCACTAATCCCTTTCCTCTTCCTCCTCTGATACTTTCACAGTTCAAATGCCAAAGCAATACATTGGAAGTGGTTATAAGTTTTTTGACACTTTTATAAGTATTTATGCAAAAGATTTAACCAGTTAGCTGTTGTCTTTCTCTTGCCATAGGCGGCAGCAGCTCATTTTTTATGGTTATTGGTGGCAGAAAAGTGCATTTGCAGAAAACCCTTAGATCAAATGTTCCTCAGGGTGGTGGGGATAGTGAAAAGGCTTTTTCTAGTTTCTGACTTTTTTCTTGCGCCCAACTGCCTGGCCAGCCCTGCGATGGAAATGGCACATCCACAGTATTTCCCTTTTGACGTAGTCTGTTGCACTCCTTGGCTGCAGATTTCAGTCTCCCACAGGCTTCCCCTTGTCCTTAATGTGGCTGCATCAGTTAAATTAATAAATGACGTTGCCATTACTCCTTCAGCACATTTTACCATCCCCGCTGCCAGCCTCTTCAGGAGACAGCTTTTTGTCTGTGATGAGCAGAACTTCCCTAAGAATCTGCCCATTTCTTCTGCATCTACAGCAGGAGGCCCTGAAGGAAATCTTTAGTGACTTCATTTGCAGTTTAACCGTACATTTTGCAATTTAATTACGTATTTTCAAGAGACAAACTGTTTCTTTTGTGAAACACAGCTCTGAAATGTGGCTGTGAAACCTTTCTGCCCTCGCTTTTTCCCTGGAGAGCTTGTGGCTCTTTGGCAGTGCACGGGAAAGGCCTTTCCCAGATCTCGCAGGTAACCCACCAGACAAATTTCTGAGACCCTGTAAGACAGAGTGTTGTGTGATGGGATCCAAGAACTGGTAGGATTTGTTGAAGGTCATCCCCTGTTTCTAATCCAAGAAAAGCAGTGTTGCATATGGCAGCTGTAGTCTTGCAATGGACAGCCAACAAGAAAGAAGGAAGAGATGATAATCAGAAGCAGCATCCCAGCAACTGTTATATGCATATTTCTGCTTCTGTGGCTCAGTCCTCCGAGGGGATGGGACAAGAGCTTCAGCCCTCTGTAGACACCTGTAAAGTTTCCATCCTATGCTGCCCTGAAATTTCTCGTGTACCAGATTTCATGACTAGGCTGGATTAGTAGGAGTTTGTTGTTTGGGCTGGGGGGGTTGGCCTTTGATTTTGATGAATGTTCATGTGATCTTCTATTCAGGCAAATTTGTTTTCCATTAATCTTGATAAATTATCTCAAAACATAATTGTTCGGTTTGACTCACTCAAAACAAGGGACCTTTGATGCCCACGACAAAGCTGAAAGAAACCCCAGGCCCCAAATCCATTGCAAGTGCAGTAAGGATGTACATCATTCACAGTATATCTAGTTATATTCCAGCACTGTTCTCTCTCATTGACTTAATTGCTCTAATCTATTTGAGTCAAAGGATATTCAGCCCGTGATTTCTGTGGCAGCTGTGTCGTTGTTGTGAGATGTCTCTGGGATAACCCTAGCAGCCCTTGTCTTGCTTAGGCCGGGCCTCACAGTGAGCTCCACTTCAGGGAAAATCCTAAGACAGAGCCTTTTCCAGTTTTTTACCTGCAGGTACTGCAACAGCGAGTGGTTTTCCATCCCGCGTGACTCTAAAGAGACAGCTAGGAAGGAGATCAGACGATACGTGAGTTAGAGCTGAACACGTTGACAGTTCTGGCAAGCGTGCTCTTAAACTATGGTCGAGCCTGTGCATCAGTGTCTGCACACGACCGTTCTTTTCTCCTGCCAGTTAGTGAAACCGCGGAATGACCAGACCTCCAGCTGATATAAATCTGCTTGCCTTCAGTGCTTCCCATAGAGGTGCGCTGATCTGCAACTTCTGAGGCTCTGGATCTGGAGGAAAGACACAGCGCAGAATAAATAAAAGAGAGCGGAAAGATAAAAGCCTCAAACGCAAGACTTTCAGTTTGCTTTTGAAAGCACTTTTAATCATTGCATCGCTAAAGGAACATGTCTTGCAAATGAGTCATTTAAAAAACTCTACTTTAATTGGAGGGTCCCTCTAATAATGTTATAGTAAAGCTATATAGTCAGAAATTACTTTAAACTCTTTTTTATTGACTGAATTTCAAGTAATTTTAGGTATTAGACTTGCCCCTAGGCCAATTCTTGTGGTTTCAGAGCTATGTTCTCCTCCTTTTCAAAACGCCTTTCTTTCCTTTGTTGTGGTCTGAAATGCCCACGCAAACTGGGGGAAACCAAGTACTGCATAGGGAAACCAGCTAGTCACCGGCCACCATCAGCCTGCAAAATCCAGTACGGGCCAAATTCTAGTCTCTTTGAGCTCTAGTAACATTAAGAGTATTTTGTAACAAGAGCTGTAGAAACATTCAGGCAGGAGATGGTGGGAGTGTGGGTCTTTGGGGTTTTTTTTTGTTTGTTTGGGTTTTTTTTGCTGTACCCCTATAAATATAATGCAAGCGGCAGCATCCTGGTAGTTTTTAGGCAGAAGGAGCTTCCAAACCGTTAAGCTATGATTTGAGCAGGCTGGGGCCAAATCTGAAAACCTTCTCTAAGGCACATGGGCGCAATCTGTAGGTTTGGCCTCTCAGGAGCAGACCTAGAATTTTAATTTTCTGTCTTCTGTTACCACCTGTCTTGCTGTGCACATGGATGCACATGGATAACCAGCGCTCACAGTCCTCAGTCGGTCATGGTTTCTAGAGCACATCACTTCACATGTGAAGAGGTCTGGCCTCGACAGGACAGACGGTGCACAGTTTGCTTTTCACACAGCCAACCTACTGCCACCAGCTGAAGTGGAATTGATGGTGACTGTGAGGAGCGGCAGAGTCGGTTTTTCGCATTCCCCTTCCCAGATTTGTGTACTTCATTGGTGCAGCTTCCTTACTTGCTTACCTTACGCTAGCTTTGAGTTTGGTATTGTGTTTAGGTTTCAGACGTGCTGTGCTCTTTCTGCTTAAAATATATAGAAGAGAGATCATTTGCCTGCTGTGCAGCACATTTAGGATGTGCGATATGCGTATTTGTGGTTTTCATATCATAAAGTCCACATGTAAGTTAGATCCTGAGCATGCACCATCGCTCCTTCTTGAAGTTCTTTATTTAAGTAGCTGATAGCTTTAATCAAACGGCTGGACTTTTTTATATCAAGTTACTAGCTGCTATGACCTTATCTGCTTAAAAGTATCGTATCTGCTAAAAGAATTAATAAAACCAGTTTGGCACCAAGACCCATACTC